TTGTTTATGTATGTTTTGTGTTTGTTGTAAAGAATAAAAAATTTTATTAAAAAAAAAACAATAATGAATTATGAAAATCTCAAAGAATAAGCTTCTCAGTCAGAGGGTATCTGTTGCACTTCAAAACTGCTTCATGAGATACATATTCTTTTGCATTCAGTTAGACTTAATTCCAGGACCACTGAATAAATCATTGATACAGAATCCACAGAGGGAGCTTCTCCAACAATCTTGATTAATTTAATTAATCAAGGTCTAATCCACTTACTTCCCAGTAGACATTATCTTCAAAGCAGTTTTCATCTGTAGGGTCACCAAACAAGGGCAGTTTCAAAATGCCACCTTTGGGGAAGAAAATCAAGTGCTAAATTCACTTACAGTGCTTTTGTGGTTTTTAGAATTTTCTTTTTCAGCTGAGATTTATTTCTACTAACTGCGGCTCAGAACTAACCGCAGGTCTCTGAATTTGTGCCCAGGTTCACAAAACCTAAAATGGCTTGTTTAATTGAATGGACTGATTAACTGAACAAGCCAACCATCAGTTCTTGCAAGGTGCTAAGTAAACCCCATTAGAAGGGTTGGATTTACACACTGTAGGAGGAGAACCATGCCAGTCCATGGTGGCAAAAAATCAGGAGTCTGTTAGGACCTTTTCCAGTGAATGAGTTTGATTAAAAAACATAATCTTTCAAGAGCTGCAGCTCACCTCATAGGATGCCCAGAGTGATGAAGTAAGTTGCAGCTCATGAAAACTTCTGCCTTTCAATAAAATTCGTTTGTCAGAAAAAGTGCTACCAGATTCCTTCTGGATTCACATATGAAGTGAAACTGAAACCAAAACTACTACATTATGGCTTAAGGTGACACATGAAGCCCCATAGAAGAAAAAGCTGTTATTGTTCTAAAATGGTGGTGGAAAAGGTTCATTCTCCTCCTTTCATAAATGCATACAGATTTGAGGTTTTCTATGAGGTTTTCTAAACCACAAACCATGGTTTAGGCAACCTGTGGCCACAGGCCTGCATGCAGCTCTAGGTTTAATTCATGATGTCCTTGGCTTGATGTCAAAGGCCTTCCCAACCCCTCTGTTCTGAATCTTGCCAGTGGGACCTGTCCCTCCCTGGGATTCTTCTTCGTAGCTGTTAAAAGAAGAGAGATGAGGAAATATTGAAGAAGGGAAAGAAAGAAAGAAAGAAAGAAAGAAAGAAAGAAAGAAAGAAAGAAAGAAAGAAAGAAAGAAAGAAAGAAAGAAAGGCTGCTTTAACCCAGAAGAACTAATTGGCTCTTAGAGAGGAAAAGAAGAGTCCCCCCAGCAGTATCTATGACGGGTCATAACAGGCAAGATGTGGACTGGCATCATGGCACAAAGAAAAGGGACGAGGCTTGCATCTAGCTGCCATATGTGGCCTTTTGCCTGTTTTGAGTCCCCCCTGCAGATGCCACTGGGGTCCCCTTCCGTAGTTTAAATGGTTGTCCATAGGTGGCCATAAGTAGTCATGACAATGTAATGTGCCTCATATATCATCATTTGTGCAATGACATTATGACAATATTGTTGTTATTTCAAATTTATTATAACTGTCCGATATCAGTGGACCTATTTGCCCCCCATTGGATGTCCATGGGTCTGTCTGAACCAAGATTAAGAATATCTCTCTTGTCTATATTTACACAACATAAGCAAACTAATATTTTGTTAACTATGGTGAAAGTACAATTGTCTAGGTTTGTACAACACACTAAACCCAAAACAAGCAAACACGACTTACTGTGTTGCTATAAACCTAACGATGTCTTCTGTTTATCACAAGCTAATTGCAGATTGAGGTCTAGAACCACATATACAGAGAGACCTGCTCATTTTAGCCTGCTGTCTTTTGAGGAAATGTTCAGCCATCCTATCAGTCCCTAAATTGAACCAGATACAGTTCCAGGGTCTCTCTCCTTAATGGGCCATGAATTCAGCACCACACACACTTTTTTTGTTGTTTTGTAAATGAAGTCCCGTCCTCCCCTTCTAGTTTTTCCTTCCTTTTCAATTTTGCTTTTTCCCTTAGGAAAACAAGACGGAGGCTGAAGGATGGTGCAGGAAATAGGTGTGGAAGATGGGAATGGAGAGACATTTGTTTAGTGTGCATTTTGGAATCAAAGCACATGAAGTAAAATGCAGGCACCCTACAAATTTTGCGGTTTTCTGAAATTTGAAACGCAGTTTGTGGATCGTAATAGTAATACTGCAACTTAATATTAGGGGGCGGGGGAAGTCTGTATGAGAATGTATATATTAATGCAATTAATGTGCACAACATCGGGGGGATAGTTTTAAAACACTCTGTACTAAGGCAAAAATCACAAAAGAAAATCTTTAGGTTTGGAGAAACATCCAGCAAGATATACATAAGAATTCATGAGAACTAAAAAAAAATACCTCTTAAGTTTGACATCTGAAACTTGAAAGAGCTGCAGAACTGAGAACATGAAAGAAACACTTCCACATAATCCCAAGAAAACTGCATGAATGTTTCCAGGTAAGTCTACAAAAGTTGAGCTCAGATGGAAGGTGACTCTACTCTTCTATGATATTGAATGAAAGAAATGTCACCAACGATTTTTTTACTAAAGCTTAACATGCCAGAAGATGGCAGCAGGGAAGCACCAGAGGCAAAAAGACCGTAGCCACTTGGGTGGATCATGAAGAACTGGAGACAGGTGAATAAGTAGATATTCCACCTCCAGCTGGACACACTGAGAGAGAGGACTCTGTTAAGAAAAGCAGCTGTTCTACATCTGCATGAGGATCTTCCACTTACCCACAACGGCTCCCCCCACCAAGGCCATGGCCAATGACACTGCGATGCCAGCTGCTTGGAATCCCCCTTGGATGCTGGGTGTCCGATACATGTATTCTCCGGTGAAGTCAAATGTGTTGGTGAGCCTGTAAGAAGGAAGTGAAATGGGAAAGAGACAAACGTGAGGATTTTCCTCCATGCCGAGAAAAATTGTGGTCCCAAGTTCCTTTTGGTTCATCACCATCTGCCTCTCTTTTCCTCAAAGGGTGAGTTGCTCGCTGGCATTTCAAAGTTCTCCTAAAGGAGCGTGGATGCATCTTGCAGGTAAAAGCAAAACTCCTAGGGCTTAGGCACCGTGTAAACTGGGCAGTCCACGGTTCTGTCTCCTGCAGTTCTTTCTTTCTCTCCAAAGAAAAGGAAACCAAGCCAAATGGGTGGCACCCTCCAGAGATGTCCCAAAGCACCTCACCCTTTCTTCCCATATACTTCTTCTGTAGCAGCAGAAGCAGTGATGGCCCCGACGATGCCTCCAATTAAACCTGGCATTCCGTGAAGGTTGTGGATGCCACAGGTGTCTTGGATACGTAGCTTAGCATATAGGAAAGGCTAGAAGAAAGAAAAGAAGGACAAAACGTGTCTAATGAATGCTATAAAGAGGAATCTGCTACAACATATTGCAGTGAAAGGAAACAGCATTTCCACTTTCGCACTGTTTGGTCATACTATCAAGGTTCAGGAAAGCTTCGGTGCCAAGCATTCAGAAATACTCTTACTGTGATGAAGACGTATCCGATGGTTGTCACGATGCCACAGATAAAGCCCACAATGAGGGCACCATAGGGGGTCAGCATCATTTCAGCAGATGTTCCTACGGCCACCCCCCCAGCCAGGGTGGCATTTTGAATGTGGACCTAGACAAAGACACAGCTCTTTAAATCCCTGATTTTTTACTTTATTTATTTATTTATTTATTTATTTTTGCTTAAGGGCCTTTTTCACATCTCACAGTCATTCCTGGATGCAACAACAGTTTTTCAAACTGCAATTTCACTATGCCTAGCACCACGGGCTTTCTGACCCATTGTGGAGGAGAAGGAGAAGGAGAACTCTTTTGAATTTTTTTTTTTTAAATGTGTCTAAAAGAAATTTCAAAAGCCTCAACATTCATGAGATGTCCGTATCTTTGCCTGAAATCTTACCTAATTTCAGCATTTTGCCTGAAAATATTTTGGTATTCTCTCCTGAAATTTCTCAAGATTTCAGTGTTCTGTCCTGAACCTTTGTGAGAGAGGTGTTCTTGCCTGAGCAATCAGGTTGATATTTTATGATATTTTGGCCAGGAAAGTGCTGAAATCTCGTAAAAGGTGGTGTTCCTACAAGACTGGCTGTTTTTTAATGATTGATGGATTGATTGACAGGCAGGCAGGCAGGCAGGCAGGCAGACACACACACACCTGTGGCAGCGGTTCCATGAAACTTCATAAAAGATCAGAGAAAGCCATGACACCATTTCTTGACCTTACAGTACTCACCATATTCAACTTTCCTTTCTTTTGCAAGAGACTAGAGAAGGCCACAGAAGTGAGGACGCAAGCAGCAAGGGAACAGTAAGTGTTGATGGCAGCTCGGTGCTGTGCGTCCCCATGATTGGAAATGGCTGAGTTAAAGCTGGGCCAGTACATCCACAGAAACAGGGTCCCTGCAACGGAAAGGAATTGGCTTGCTATGAGGACAGACCAGGAGTTGCAGACAGCTCACTCTTCCGGATAAAGTATGAGGGATGAAAGTAAGCCCCTGAGAAGCTCTCCAGCCCACGTGGAGATAGGACAGGAAAAATAACTTACTAAGCAACTAGTCCCTATAATAGCATATCAACTGCTTTCTTCTACAGGAATAGTGTATGTCTGTATGCATTTTAAAAACATCCAAAATAGGGCCTCAAGGTTGTTATAGCAAAACCAGAAAACCAAGCTCTATAACCTTAATGGGATTTAAATGTTTGTGCCTCAATAAATGGATAGTTTAGAGCAGTTTGTGCTTCAATAAATGGATAGTTTAGAGCAATGTTTTTCAACCTTGGCAATTTTAAGCTGTATGGACTTCCACTCCCAGAATTCTCCAGCCATGCTCCAGCATGGCTGGCTGGAGAATTCTGGGAGTCGAAGTCCATACAGCTTAAAGTTGCCAAGGTTGAGAAACACTGGTTTAGAGACAGCTTGGTAGGAAACTTCTACATTCCTTTCAATTTGATCATAAGGGTCAAAAGATGTTTCAGGATTCCAAAACAATGACATGCCAAGCATATCTTTTCCTGCTTTCTGAGACGTGCTGAACATACAGCTTTGTGTAATATAGATTAAAGGCTCAAAGTCCACAATAGTTCGCTTTCAGAGCATTTTCTCCTTTAAGTATATCACTTGGGCTACCGAGAACAGAATTAAAGGTAGAGAAAAGGACCAGCCTTTTCACCAATAGCCCAAGCCTCTTTTCACTAATTCTGTCCACTATCTTCAAAAGTGAAGGCCCTCCCCTTTAACAGGGAGAGGAAGCACAACTCACCAATCATGGCAAAAAGATCTGAATGGTAAACAGATTCCTGCTTGTCTTTGGTCTGCTCAAGGTTGGGCCGGTACAAAATAGAGGTCACAGTTAGGCCAAAGTAAGCACCAAATGTATGAATAGTCATGGATCCACCAGCATCTTTCACCTGCAATGACAGATATGAAAGAGGTTGAAGCCTAGCCAGAAATGGTTGGTTTTTCTCTACAGAGAATCAACTCAACACAAATGAAACCTGAACTCAGCTGATTAACAGTCTCAGTAGAAGATTTGTGCCTTTGGGCATCTGAAAATTGTGTTTCTAGATCTTCATCCACACAATCTCTCTAACTTCCTTTACCTGCCCCAGAAATATGCTGGACTATAACTTCCATCACCGCTACCCACGCTGGCTGAGAGTGTAAGAAACTGGAGTCTTGAAAAAGAAGAAATAGCAGACCTTTTCATTTGGCTTAGTTGCAACTCTATGACTTGCACAACCCGTAGCAAAGACTGTAGAATCTGAGTTTGTGCTGGCCTTCCTCCCTCCTACTTCCTTTCCCTTTGATGGAATGTCTTTTAAATTGTAAGCCAGCAGGCAAGGACTATCTTATCTGAAAGCAACCCTGGGAGTCTTTCTGGCTGAACAATGAGATAAAAAAAACATTTTAAACAAACACATAAATGAAACATTGAAAAAAAATGCATGGAATTGCTACTTCCTAGAATGGAGTTGTATCCACTTAGGTCCTCAGTCTGGTTCTCTTACCTTTGGCTTTGAGAATATGGAAGAATAATTTTTGGATGTCATATTTATTGGACTTTTGTTTTCTCTTCAGCCTTACTGAGAGTAGAGAATGAACGGTATAAATTTAGGAAACGAGATGCCCTTTTACTTGCAACAAGGGCATGTTGAAATGAAGTCAAGGAGGTATCCTTCTGTTCCACAAGGCTGGCAAAATTATTTTAAACCTGCTTTTCTATTCAAACCCTCAAGTCACAATCTTATTCCATCCCCTTATCTGATGGTCAAGAGAACCTCTTCCTCTCAGGGGCTTTTATGTACATTCAGTCAAAGCGTGCCCTACTTGTGCAACCACATTCCAATCCCACCAGGGTTGAGTCCTGAATCTTGTGGATCCTGGGCAAGAGACCAGCAGTAGGCTCTGCTCCCTCCCTAATATGGCTGTCCTTTCACTTACATATGGGGGTGGGGGGTGGGCTGTAATGTAATACTCTCCCATTAAGTGCTTCCTTGACCAGCAACATGTTGTTCATCTCTGCTCTGGGTACTAAACAAGATAACTTATTATCTAGTGAAAACATAATAAAATACAAGATTATTACAATAAAAACAAATGCAAGGGAAAGAACACAACAGCCCCATCTGTTCCCTCAAAAATAGCAGGCATGCAATATCAAAACGTACTGCCAGAAGGAAAAGTGAAGGGTAGCAAATAAAGCAACAGCTCTTGATATTTTAAAAGCCTGAAAGAGCAGTCTTAATTCAAAACAAGTGAAAAGTCATATTGTGGATACCAGGCAAACTTCTCTTAGCAGGTTCTTTAAAAGCAGAAGAGCTATCGCCAAGAAAGCCCTCTCTCTTTTTGTCACCCCTCTTAAGTTGAGGAAAATTTGAAGTCTTAGCAAATACGTTTATGGTGTATATATAGTTGTGAGTTTTTCATTGGCTCCCTAGGAGTTTCACCAGGGTTTTTTGAGCAAATGTTGCTAAATTAACCTTCCCAATCTAGAGACCTCTAGATGCATTTGGACGGCAGAATTCCAAACTGCGTTGTTAGATATGCTGGTGGAGGATCCTGGGAATTGTTAACCAATGCATCTAGAGAGCACCTGCTTTGGGAAGGATGTGTTATAACAAGGGTGTAAAAAGCATAGCTAGTAGGCCACTTTGGCACCCGTTTTGCAGCTACTAAAGATCGTGAGTAGACAGGCTAATATAGTGGTACCTTGGGTTACGAATGCCTCTGCTTACGAACTTTTCGGGTTGCGACCAGCTCCGGCCGCAAAAATTTACCTCGGTTTGCGAACTCCGCCTCAGGGTACGAACCGGATCCGCGGCCATTTTCCGCCCGTGCCACGTGGTCTGCGGCCATTTTCCGCCCATGCCACGTGGTCCACGGCCATTTTTCCACCCGTGCCGTGCAGTCCGTGGCCGTTTTTCCGCCCTTGACGCGTGGTCCGCGGCTGCCGGAACGGATTTACGGTAATTACATTGAACCTTATGGGAAAATTTGCTTCAGGTTGTGAACAAATCGGGTTGCGACCAGAGTCACAGAACAGATTAAATTCGTAACCCGAGGTACCACTGTATTTGGATTGTGGTTGAAGGTTATTTAGGAAGCAAGTTAGAGAGCAGTCTTGCAGAAATTTAAGACACCCATTTCACCCCTTAGAAATTATGAATTCCTTCCCCTGTTCGACCTTGGCCTCACCTACCTTTGGAGTATACTTCTTGTCTAGTTTTAGGCTTTGCTCCTTCAATTGTAAGAATAGACCTCCAAGGCCACAAAACCTCTGATAAATAGGTTTATTGTAGAAAGACGAATGAAGCCATTACAAAAAATTTCGAGTGACAGCATGCATCAAATGCAAGACATATCAAAATTGGAGTTCCAATTTTGAGCCACTTCCTCCTGCCTATGTGTTATAATGAGCTAGGAGATAATCTCTTAGGACAGGAGAGATGGTTTCACCCATCTCTTGTTTGGGTAACAGACCGATCTGGTATCAGGATGTTTGCTTAGTGTGAGAAATGGCTCTCACACCCAGCCATACAAAGCTTAGGGTGGCCTTTGAGCTGAAGGAAGCTAGTCATACCTGACCTAAAGCTTAAACCACTGTCCTCTTTGTCTTGCCTACTGCACAGAGTTGTTAAGAATGCTACGTAATAACCAAAAACACAAGGCAATTTTGTCACGTGGAAGTTAAGAAATGGAAGAATCTCTGAATTTTTGGAACCAAGGTGAATAGCCTTACATGAAGCAGGTCAAGCAGGATATATTCATTGACGGAGAAGAGGGTCACTTGAAACAGTGTCATAACGAGCAGCTGCACAGGGCTGACTTTGCCCAAAATGGCACCAAAGGCGATACAAACAGAACCCACGCAGAAATCTGCATTAATCAGGCTGAGAGGAGAAGGAAGAGATGAAGGAGTCAGAGAAGGCTACTGAAGCAACACAACAATGAGTGTCTTGGAACTGTAGTTGATCACATGAGCCAGCAGTGAGACATGGCTACAAATATGACAAACACAATTGGATAGATAGATTGATTGATTATGTACCATCAGGTCGTTATTGACACTTGATGACCACATAGGTAGGTTTTCTCCACAATGATCTGACCCTAAGTTGGTCTTTGAGGTCTTCCAATTAGGCTGCATCAATAGAAGCTGAATTTCCAAATCATGGGAAGCCACGGTTCTTTTCTTTGCTTGAGCACTACACTGTAAGTATTCAAGCAATTGGGAAAGGTTCATATTAGAGCAATGAGAATTGAAGAATGGATTTGCTTAGCCTTGAGATGACTGACAAGGGATATAATAGCACTCTTCCAATCTGTCCCTAAGTGTCACACAATAGCTTTGACCTGATATACATTTTCTATCATCCATTGTGCAGAATTTACAATAATGGTCTTAGCTTGCAGTAGGGTAGGGCAGCATGAGCTTGCAGCCCCCAATATCCCTTCAGGTATATCTCTTGGAACCCACCACTTTCCTTGTTCCACTGACTATTTTCTATTTAAAAAAAATTAAACAGAAATCTGGCATGCTGTAAAGTAAAACACCAGCCTCTGGTATCTTATCTGTTGGCAGGAATTCCCTTTGGACCACAAGGTCCTCTAGGGATGGTAGAGAACATCCTGAAAGTCTACCTCACCATTGCTAACATATACACCATGGCAGCCATTTTGTGAGTGCACTCAGTATATTCACTCTAAATTCCAACATATTCACATGTGCACTTGGTCCAAAATTCCAAGCGTGCCTCAGACTAAATGGAGTGTCTCAGAGGATGCTTCCATATTCTCTCTAAATCCTACTTTTGGATGTCCGGAACATTTATTTCTGACTCCATAAAAGATAAGAGAGTCCATCTTATCTCTCACCCAATGTCCATCTTTGCATTCCAAAGCCACAAATTTAATCTATTTTCATCACTGTATCATGCTAGTCTTGTGTCCTGCTACCCAGAAATTCTTTCTTTCTTTTTTTCCCATGTCCAAGCATGCCATCTTACCTTTCTACTCCAATGAGTATCTTCCCATGCTCAAAGGTATGAAACCAGCCTTGCATCAGGAGAGCCCACTGGATCCCAAAGGCAGCAAGGAGAAAGTTGAAGCCAACAGCTCCAAAGCCATAGCGTTGAAGAAAGGTCATGAGGAAGCCAAAACCCACAAAAATCATCACATGGACATCTTGGAAAGCTGCAATAAAGAAAGATACTCCATTATGTGGACTGTCACCCGCATCCTTATTCCACACCTACCTGCATGTCTAGCAACTTCCTCACTCAACTAGTTTACACACAACTGTTCCTCACTTAAGGTCTACAACATTCAGTTTATGTCAGAACAGTACATACCATAAGCATCTTCCCTGGAATCCATCACAGCACTGCCTACAATACAGATGTTCTGTAGCGGATGCTTCAAGCATATTGTGGGAGATAAAGCAGGGTGAACAAAGTTCCTTAAAAGTTGAAAGATTCTGAGAAACACTGCTTGAGTGCAAAGGTAAAGTGTTTTCTCTTATTCCTGAGCAACCACAATTAATTTTGAATTAATAGGCAAATGCTTCTAAAGAAGATTATCTCCTAGAATTTCATGCTGGTAGATACAGTGGCTAGAATTAATTGCATGCCCAAGTTTTGACAAGTCAGGATTCCTCAAAGGGCAAGACTAGTTGCACACAGGAGATTTGGGTTCAGATGCTGGTCAGCCATGATATTTATTGGTTGATCTTTGAACTGTCTTTCATTTCCCTCAACCTACCTCACAGGATTGCTTGAAGTGCATGCGTATCAGTTCCATATAACTTGCCTTGACTTTAGAAGGAAGGTATGAGTCAAGCTATGTTCGTGCAGTAGGTTTAACCAGGTCAACTAAAGATTTCCAGAAGAGTCATTCACACAACATGATAAGCTTGGTTAATGTTAAACTTACTTAGTATTTTTGTGACTTAGCAGTTGTATGAAGCCAGCCCATTTGATTAGTTTATGGTTTAATGCATTGTGACACTCCACAAAAAAAGTGAATGCAGCAACCAGAGTAAATTTGTTGTGTGAACACAGTCAATATTGGCCTAACCGCTAATGAAAAAAAAATGTTGCTGCTGTCTTTTTTTGGTCAAAAACTTCAAAATCTAATAGTGATCTCCTGGAATTTGCTCTATGCAGGGGATACGATTAATAGCAATTTTCACCCTATACCCCAGGCAGTGGGATGGGATACACTTTATCTACAGGACAAAGCAGCTTCACAGATCTTTAACCAACTTTGCTGCTCATCATATTTTCAAAACAGAAATCTGCTTCTGTGCTATAAAATAAAACTTGGCAATTATTGGTGGTCCAGGAGATGCCAAAGGCAAGTGAACAAGTTGAAGATGGGGTTGTGTTTCTTCCATCACTGGCTTGGGATCCACCCCCTCCCCCACCTCCACATGCAACTTCAACTTCCCCCACCCACCTAGGTCTCCCCCCACCTATGCCCTTTTGGCTGCCCTGCGCTCCACTGCCTCTGCCGGCCTGCTGGCCTTGCCATCCTGCTGCCCCAGTTGACCTTCACCATCTTCTTCCTCCCGCTGCTGACAAGGTGTGCCCAGCCTAGCCATTTGTAAGACAGCTGCTTACAAATGAGGCATTCTTCCCAAGGCCGTGTGTGCCCTTGTCCAGATCGCAGGGTGGCAGGGCCAGCGGAGCACAGGGCAGTCAAAAGGGCAGAGTTGGGTGAGAGATAGGCAAGTAGGGACAGCTGAAGAGGAGGCAGTCCCTTATATTACTGAGGCTCGGGGCTGGGAGGGACCAAACCGGGAATGGCTTGGATCTGGGTGGGTCCTCGCCTAACAACCAGTGGGATTCGCTTAATGACAGAAATGGAGACTGCCAGAATTGCCACTGCTAAGTGATCAGGTTTATGACAGCAACCCTTAGCGACAGAAATTCCAGTCCCAAATACCGTTGTTAACTGTGGACTACCTATAATTATAAGGTACTGGTGAACGTCTGTACCATCTTGTCTCTGGCAGTCTGCAGCCTCCATGGCACCCCACATTTCAATTCCATCCCCATGAAAGGTGTTGCAAGGAAATTCCTCCCATGTGATTTTTTCAGACCAGGAAGGAGAGATGGCCAGAAACATTGCAGAGCCATGGAAAACACCTCATGTATCAGCCCTTCAAGACAGACAAGGAGCAAAGAACCCATCACTTTACTCACATTCCAACAATAAAGGGAGGTATTGTGACATTATTAGCTAAAATGCACAGGGATGCCCCAAATCCCCAGGGATTTGGGGCATCCCTGTGCATTTTAGCTAATAATTCAGTCACAGCTGAATTGCAGTCACAGATCGAAACAAACCCATATCTGCTGAACATGTATTCAGACTACAAAATCAAATTATTGGTTATCAGAAACCTTTGGAGGCCAAATGCCAATTTCTCTGAGATTGACTAGTGGATCCAAAACTAGCTCCCGCTAGCCAAACAACAAATTCTTAAAAGGTTCTCAGGAACACTCTGACATTTCTACTTCCTTATCCCATCAGCCTCTGGATCACCACCACCACCACATTTTAAATACTTTTCAGAGTAGATGATATGGGAGCTTTCACTGATCTCTCTCTCATCTGGGTATCAAAAAAAAAAATTGTTTGATTAACGATAGAGCAACTGTCTTCAGATAAAACAATTTCTCCACTATCAAGGAAAATGTTGTAACTTGTGAAGCTTCAGCAAATTATGACCAGCGGCATTCTGAGTAATTCTCCTGTTTTTCCTTTTCTTTCTTTATCTTTTGTTATAAAGCATCAGTGAGGAAAAAAGGTCATTCCGTTTCTGGATTCCATCCATGCCTGGTTTACTCATTCTGACAAATTACATTTTCTTTCAGAGAAAGAGAGCATGCACAATACTTTATCATTTCATGGAAAAGCCAGCCCAATCAGTAGATGCAAGTAAAGAAGACTAAATTTTATCTCTCAACACAAAGGAAGTGGACATTTGGCATCTGATATTCAATCTTATCAAATATATTGTTCTCCCACATACTCATCTATCATTTTCTCTAGTTTTCTTACTGTGAAAACTTTCTAGTTTCTCCCTCCTTTTGTTTTTATCTGGTGAAGAACCTACATGTTTTGTCGAAGGATGGAAATGGAGGCCAGTTATATCTGGATTTTATACTTACAGAATTAGTAATCAATTATTACTTATTGCAGATACAATCGAGAAAGTATTACAGCCATAGCAAAACTTCTATAACTTTCTCTTTCTTTCTTTCTTTCTTTCTTTCTTTCTTTCTTTCTTTCTTTCTT